AGTGGCCTCAACCTTTACATAATTATATTGCAAATTAGTTTTTTATCCACAATTTCGTAACATGTCAAGGCTTTCATTTTTAAATGTTAGGGTGCATGGACGTGTTTTAGGTGTCTTTGTTATTGAAATGTTTACTTGATAGGCTCTGCTTCTACATTTTAAATAAAATCAAGGTTACTTTGTCCATACAACCATTGTTTATTAGTATGCATTGATAATGAGAAAAGATAACAGTAGAAACAACAATAAAGTTTCAAGGCATTGTTTGTATACATCATCATCATCATCATCATAATACATATGTTTGTATACATTTCATAATAATGTAATTAACAATACCAATTAATACTAAATATGCATATAGTGAATATAGTGTTAGTACCAACTTGTTTCAGAACCCTCAGTGAATACTTAAGTGAAGAGTAAAAAAAGATTTTTTTTTACTTTGTATCGTAAGCAATGATGCAACCACAAAACCAAATGAATAATCAGTAATCTTTGTGAAAGAACCCCACAACTATAACTAATTGGTGCTTTTACTGGATTAACATTATTAGTATAAAATATTTGCAATTAGTGTTAATTTTATATTTGCCTAATTTTAGTCCCTTTTCCTTTCCACCCTTTTCTTAAGAGGAAAGAATGGGAAGGAAAAGTGGATTTGATGGTGGAGGAGACACATAGGAAGGGGAAATGTCCTCTTTATGTGCGTCTCTTCCTCCGTCAATTAAGGGTAGGCAACGCATCTGCAATTGCGGATGTTTCCATTTCGGTGGATTCAGATGGCCACTTGCTTGTTTGCCGCCTTATATTTAAAAAAATGTATATAAATAGCTTTTGCCTATGAATCAGTCCCCATGTAAATAATCAACAATGTGCATAAGTATTCTATCAGGATATGGTCTACATCAATGCCAAATTTCTTTGAGATCCATTGAGTCATTCTTGAGATACCTTCTATCAAACAACAGTCTAAGTATGGTTGTTTAGAACATTAGTATGATAATGTTCAAATAGAACGTTAGATAATGTAAATATTTGCTATGTAATTAAGATGGATAATGTTCCAGGGTCACAATGGCTGACCATCACATAAGAGAAGCAGCGGAATCTCTATTGGAGAGTGTCTCCAATCCACGCTATAGAACTGTTTGTGAGTATTTTTTCTCTAATTGCTACATTTTTAAAAACTTTAGTAGTTTTTTTGGATGGCAGAGGTAGTTCATTTGTTCTAGGGTGGGGGAGATGCCCTTTACTGCTGCCAAGGGGCTAATCCCATGCAAGTTTTAGCTAGTATTCTATAAATAATACATATGTTTTGTCATTCCAGCTCAATCGCACTCAGTAAATCTAACAACGGAAGACCTGCTGGCCGGGTACAGACCGTACGGTAGGATGTCTTCTGTGCGGAGGTTCTTTTGTCTGTTTGTAACATTTGATCTCCTCTTCACAAGTCTTATGTGGTTGATATGTGTTATGGTGAGTGGAAATAAACTTTATTTTATCTATACTAATATAAAGAGAAAAGATTTGTATTTTTGTATGTATTTAAATAACTCAACCAGTGCTGGACCAATTTCAAACATTTTTTCACCATTAAAAGGCTATGTTATTACTGAATAACATAGGCTTGCATATACATTTTTGTTATTTTTTAATTTGATGACATTGAAGGCCTTTTTTATTTTCTTGCCATTTCAATATTGCTTCTTTGCTACTATTGGCTTGTAGTTTTTGTTCCATATCAGCAAAATAGCTTTTTTTTCTTTCAAATTATTCACCTCATAAATTGATTAGCATGAACATATACAGCCTGTAGATTGTCGTAAGTGTAGAGCATTATTTAAAAAAATGATCTATACTATTATAATATAGCATAAACACACACTTCTTTATTGCCTAAGATGTCAACAATCACAGCATGTTTTCGAATAACTCTTTTTTTTTACTAAAAAGTCCTACACCTATGTCACACTTTAGGCTATATATTTTCACGGCGTTAAACTAAGGGGTAAATATCTTGGATAAAAACCCTAATGTGGGAAAGAGACTATAAGTTGCTGCCAACATCAAGAAAGCAAGATTGCCAAGGTTTGTCATGTCATGTCATATTGACATTTGCTATTGACAATTTGACAAATGTAAACAATAAAATGAAATTTTCATAATTTCAAGCAGATGAAGTTGCATGGGAACAGCTAGTTCATAAATATTCTGTGATTGCTGACATCTTACTTAACAAAGTGTGTTTATGCTGTATTATATTAATGTAGATGTACATTATGTCTGCCCGTCTAATTTTAACTTTACTGGCATGTAAACCAGGCATAAATAGATTATTTCTGTTTGCAGATGAAAGGTGAATCACTAGTACTGATATTCAACAGAGAGATAGTACAATATAGCATTAAAACATCCCTATTTGATGTAGTAATGGTTGCTATGTTAAGATTTCTTCTGCTGATATTGTTTTATGCAGTGTTATATATTAATAATTGGAGCATTATTGCTGTAAGTATAATCACCCCATCTTAATCTTGGTAAAATTTAGAATGTCAACACTAAGGGTGGTCATTAAAATTTAAAAATAGTTTTGCTTATTTCTTCACATATTGACTATGTTTGCTAGTATCGCCCGCGATTCCGTCGGCGTGGAATTAAAAAAACAAAAGTGAGTATGTGTTCCAGACTATCCTCTACATCGATACCAAATTTCATCGAAATCCATTTAGCCATTTAGGATACAAACTCTAACAAACATCCATCCATCTAAACTTTCACATTTACAATATTAATATGATTGTATTGAAGATATTTTATCATGGTAACATATGTTAGTACAACTGCACTGATTTTTAAATGTAAACATTCATTTCTTGAATATTATATTGAGTGTTTTATTTATTACTTACTAGCTGTTCCCGTGCGACTTCATCCGCGCAAAATTATAAAAAAAATATCTTATTGTTTACATATGTAAAATTATCAATTGCAAATATCAAAAGAACATGGAATGATGACGAACCATGTCAACCTTGTCCAACCAAATCGTCCTTAATGTTGGCAGCTTGTAGTTTATGATCCCTTATCCACATTTTTTTCCAATTTATTTATCCCCCAACTTTAATAGCGTAAAAATATATAACCTAAAGCGTATAGTAAGTGCAGTGCTTTTTATTAAAGAAAGAATTACTCAAAAATATGTTGTGATTGCTGACATCATGTAGTACATGTAGGTTTTATCATTTTTTATTCTTGTAACCTTTTTTTTAATTATGGATTTTTTTTCAGCTCTCGACTGGAGGAACTTGTGCCTTTTTAATAGCCAAAGTGTTCGTTTTTGATGTAAGTATGAGGTAAATAAGCCGCTTTTATAATATATTTTTTATCTGGAATTATATAACAAAATGTTGATATTTTGCTTTTAATTATATTTAGCTGATCGATTTTCATAGTTTTTATAGTAAAATGTAAACGAGAAATGGCTATTTGAATTCGCCAAAATAGCGAAATAATAGTCAATACATTATCCATACCAAAACATCCGCATGAAATTGTAACACTTCATTTTCTTGTTTACATTTGTGAAATTTTTCAATTGCAAATGTTAAAATTAAAATGACAACGAAGGGTTTTGACATTGGATAACAATTACTGTTACCATGGCAACCTTGCTTCTCTCATGTTGTTTGCTTGTAGTTTTGTTTCTTCCCCGCATGATGATTTTTTCCAAATTACTTACTACCTATTTAATTTAATAGCTTGAAATGTATGTCAAAAGTATAGGGCTTTTTATTTAAAAAAAAAATGATTTTAAAATATACAAAACTACATAACGTATTTGTATGTGTTTACGCTTTATTACATTAGTATAGAAAAACACTAACTTTTGCCCGCGGCTCCGTCCGTGGAATGGAAAGAACAAAAGTAGCCTATGTGTTCTTCCAGACTATCCTCTACATCTATGACAAACATGTAAATACGTTTAGCAGTTTAGGCTACAAACTCTAACATCCATCTAAACGTATTTATAATATTAAGGATCTGTCCCACCACTGACAGATAGAGGCTCAGATAGCTTAAAAATAACGTCACGCGTAAGGTAACAAAATCAGATATTTCCATCACATATTTTTCACGTTGGATTGTTATCGAACAATTTATAATTTGGTGGGACAGGCCTTAAATAAAATAATAAAAGCGATATCTAAATATAATAATAACAATATTTCAGTGGCCGAATGCATCACAGCCGGTGTACCAAGTGTTTTTAATCCTGACCTCGTTCACGCTGGCGTGGGGTGAAGCCTGGTTCCTCGACTTCAGGGTGCTGCCGCTGGAGATGGGAGCCAGCAGTATGTATTTAGTGTCCTTGGTATAAAAGAATGCTCTTGACTAAAATATCGCAAGACTATTAAGTTTCGCTTTCCTATGAGGTATGCACTACTCGATGTATATGTTAAGGAGTGAGGAGTTGTGTCATCTTCCTTGTCCACCACATAACTATCGTCATCTCAGTCACTCCCGTCTTCATGTCACCATTCACGCAATACATCCATCTCTTTCTACACCTTACCGGTGTACCTCACTCAC